TATGGCCATTCCTTCGGGTGCTAGCAGTTAATGGGCATTTGAGGGGAGGGGTGGGTTGTGTGTATGTGCTGTCAGTGACTCTGCATGGCATCCCGCCCAGTTTATTGAGCTCATTAAGATCTCTTAGCAACCTAGAATGCTGTGGCCACCTACCCCCCACACCTGCTGCCCCTAATGAGATGCCATCTGAGGCAACCGCCGCATGATGCCTCATTATAGGGACGGTCAGATCTGTGTCCACAATAAGATTTTCCTTTACCTCCTCTGTGGTCACTGGTACACAAAGTGAGCAGTACCAATGGGAACACAGCTATAAAATTATTTTATTATTTGATACTGTAAAGATCAGTATATCATTTCATGTGTGGCCATCAGGACAGGATGTGAAAGGAAATCTTCCCAACAGGCAACACATACTGCAATGAAAAAGGGGGTTAAATCCCTTCTCTATTCTATCCCCCTTAGACCTGGTATACACATTGCAGATCTTTTACCAGTTTCAACAGAATATTGAGAAATACTCATGCCTGCAGTGGTTGGTAAAGCAATGAATTCAACCTTCTTCCTTTAGAAAGCTATTTTGCAGATGGCGAGCAACTTTATGACTTCTGAACACGCAATTTTTGGAACTGATTTTTATATCTGCTGCATTGTTTGGAAAAAGTGCATAGCGTAAAGCCTGTACTAATATTCAAACATTATATATCATCAGAGATACAAAAAGCATTTTTATTTTTACTTCATTGAAGTTAGAAATAGTCTTTAACTTTATTATGAACTATTTGAATGTTTGAGGGTATTGTGCACATTTACCATGTATTAACATGACTTGTATGGGGCGATAAAAGCTTAGATCATGCTGTTTTAAAGGTCCATGTACATTACCCATAACTGATAGACACCAAATGTGAAATGACTTGACCCCAAGTTTAAAGTAGACCTCTGCTGTTAACAAAAATCTTTTACCAGTCTTGTCAGGGTGTATAAAGAAACAGCATAGAATACAAAGAATATAGAAAGAGTGAGTTTCTTTACTTTCTGAGGAAAATGTTTCTGCAGGACAACTCCAGGGCTGGCCTTGTAAACCCAGCCATGACATACATTAGCCTAAGTTAATATAGATTATATTCCTCACTCTCCTACTCTTACCACGCTAGTGACATTTTGAAATAAATACTTTCCATTCTCATTTTATACCTTATTTTACACATAGCGATAACATCACTATGGGGTCTATTCACGAAGCTGCCGAAGGATCTAGCCGTAGCTTCGGCCGATCCTTCGGCTAGCTTCGGCCCCAGGACCACTTAGATTCAGTAGAACCAAAGGGGTGCTGTACGGGCTATTCACTATACCCCGTACAGCTCCCGAACCTGGCCGAGCGGCTCAATCGAGCCGAACGCATATGCATCGGCTCGGCTGAGCCACGCTGAAAGCTGAAGCTGGCCGAGCGGCCGGCCATTGGCCGGCCGACAGCCTGCTTCTGACAGCTGGGCAGAGCCAGCCGTGATCTTACGGCTGGCTCCGGCTACTTGCAGAGAGATCAGCGTCCCTGGTTACCTGCTAACCAGGGACACTGATCGCCAAACAGCAAACTCTCCCTGGCGCCCCGGGAGTCTCCTGGCCGCAAAGGAGAGAAACACTGCTGTGTCTTTTTTTTTCTTTTTTCTGACACGGAGAATTCTGAGGGACCGAGCAGAACAGCCGAGCCGAATGCCGCTCAGCGGCATTCGGCTATTCACTCACTGCTGTTTGGCATCTATAAGAATAGGCCGAACAGCAGTGAGTAGTCTGCCGGAGGTTCGATTCAGATGTTGGATCGGCTGAGCATGTTCGGCCGACCCGAAGCCATGTGAAACAAGCCGATGTACGGCTGATTTCAGCCGATGTACGCCTGAAATCAGCCGAACCAGCCTGAAGTGAATAGCCGAACAGTCTTCGGCTCACTTCACTTGGGGTCGGTTGTTCGTCTATTCACTAAGCTGCCCTCGGCAGCTTAGTGAATAGACCCGTAAGTCTCAGTGCTTTTTTAGGCAATACAGGCAGATCATGGCTGGTGGGAGGGGCCAGCAGGGTGCTGACCTGAAAACATCACAGCACCCTGCCTCAGTAGAAGTATGAAGAAACATTACCACTCGAAGCCCACAAATCCCCTTCCTGTGGGTGGCAACCAACAAGAGTCTAGCCACATTCCACAACTGAGCAGAAGTGCTCGATTACAGTCTGCATTGGGTGAAATGCATTCAAGAGGGACAGTCCTAGGCTGAGCTGCAGTATGTCATGTCTGTGTATAAAAAAGCTGCATGATTCTGAACATCGTCCTTGTGCGACTTCCTGTTTTTTACTCTACCTCAGTAGTGCAATTTTCATGCAGTTTGGGTGTGGTGTAATAAAGCAAAAACATAAGTACAGGACATTAGGGCTGCAACAACTAATCAACATAATCGATTATAGTCGATTATTGAAAAAGTTGTCAACTTTTTCAATCATCGATTAATCGGATTCCTATTGGTTGGCCCTGTTCACGGCTCCACACACGCTGCGTGCCACACCACCTTCCCACCTCACGCTCGCCGCTGCCAGATCCGCCCATCCGCATCCACACGCCGCACCTCCTCCCCGTCTCACGCTCACCGCCCGCCCAAATCCACGATTGGCACACGGACGCAGAGAAAAGAAGTAGGAGGAGCAGGTGTGGGCGGATGACAGCCGCCGATAGACAGGCCTGATCTCAGAAGCAAGTTGCTGGAAGACTGCTCAGGTAAGCCTGCACTTCCCTCCCCACACATGGTGCTCTATAATGTATTGCTGGGATTTGTATTCCTCTATAGCTGATGGTACATTGTGCTGTATATTATACAGAGGACTACAAATCCCAGCAATACATTACACACTGTATGTATAATGTATTGTTGGGATTTGTTGTATTCCTATATAGCTGGTGGTATTCTGCATTGCACTGTATAGAGGACTACAAATCCCAGCAATAATGCATTATACAGCGCAATGTGGAATACCACCAGCTATAATGTACTATTGCTGGGATTTGTTGTACTCCTCTGTAGCTGGTGGTATTCTGCATTGTGCTGTATAATGTATTACTGGGATTTGTAGTCCTCTATAGACTGTGCCATTCTGCATTCATTGCTGTATAATTTTACACTTTTCATTTCACTATATTGCACATCACACTTTTTTTTTTCTTTTTTACTTCCACCGCTCCAAGCTTGCTCCTGTGATGGACTGCAATCTCAATACAACTAGTAGTCCCATCACTGAAGCCATTTAAAAAAAATTTATTTTATTTTTTATCCGACTAACCGATTCATCGAACTTAATAATCGGCTAAAATAATCGTTAGCTGCAGCTCTACAGGAGATATTGAGGCTGCAATTTCTGACCTTATAAAAATGGAAATTGCTTAGCGGTCTTAATGATCCTCCAGTGTCAATAATTTATGAATCACTGACCAGCAAAATGTATGCAGATCAGGAGTTCTGAAATCACTTGCTGCATGCTTGTTCCAGGTCAGTGACTTAAAGAACAACTCCAGGCATGTAAAAGCTTAACTTTACACAGTACTGCAAAGGTTAAGTGCTCATTTGCATATACTCACCCAATCCTTGGTCTTGCTTGGCTGCTAGGCCAGTCCCTGGAGCCTCTGCTCTCCCGGGGGCCCCAGTTGCCCAAGGATTTGTGACGTCATCACGTCCATTGACTTGCATTTGTCGTGAGGATGTTGAGAAATATTCCACAGCCAGAGTGGGAGAGGCAAAGGGGTGAGCGGTCACTGCCACGTGGCAGAGGATCAAGTGATTATTTCTTTTTTATTTTAGACCCTAGGCCAAAATGAGCCCTTAACCCTCGCAGGGCAGTGTCACAAATTAACAGTTGCACTGGGGCTACCCCTACACTGCAAGGCAGTGTTAATTTCGTAGACTAAAAGGTTTTGTCATCGTTTTTGGCAGCTGTGTGACGAAAACTAAAGGAAAACCAAATAAAAACTAAGTTAATAGGACCAAAACTGTGATGAAAATACATTGCAGTTTCGTCAACAAACAAAAACGCAATGAAAATGGAGAGACTATTACATTTACCTATTTGGACTTCCTGTTACCTCAGAGCTCTGCCAGTCCCCTGACTATATCGGCAGCTGGATTGGCTGAGACACCGGCTCGAATGGTCTCCCTACTGCCTGGATCAATGCCCTGCAAACCGCAAAGAATACTCCTCCATTGGTTACTAAAGACTTATCACAACGGCTAAATCTGTGCATGTTCAAACCTTAAAGGAGAACTATGGGGTCAGGGCTTTTCCCCATAGGGTAACGGGAGGACACAAACTAGAGTCCTCCCGTCACCCCAGGCTCAGTATACCGCGAGCTACAGCTTGCGGTATACTGAGACGTGCTCCCTGAGCGCCCGGGAGAGGTTTTTTTTACGGCAGCAGAGCCGCCGGACAATAGGAAACTATTGGGCAGAGCTAGCTGTCACTGCTAGCTCCGCACAATCTTTTTCTATTTATTTTTTTATTCTTTTTTAACTATTTTTCTGTTTTGCTCGGTCCCTCTGAGGGACCGAGCAGAACAGCCGAGCCGAATGCCGCTCAGCGGCATTCGGCTATTCACTCACTGCTGTTTGGCATCTATAAGAATAGGCCGAACAGCAGTGAGTAGTCTGCCGGAGGTTCGATTCAGATGTTGGATCGGCTGAGCATGTTCGGCCGACCCGAAGCCATGTGAAACAAGCCGATGTACGGCTGATTTCAGCCGATGTACGCCTGAAATCAGCCGAACCAGCCTGAAGTGAATAGCCGAACAGTCTTCGGCTCACTTCACTTGGGGTCGGTTGTTCGTCTATTCACTAAGCTGCCCTCGGCAGCTTAGTGAATAGACCCGTAAGTCTCAGTGCTTTTTTAGGCAATACAGGCAGATCATGGCTGGTGGGAGGGGCCAGCAGGGTGCTGACCTGAAAACATCACAGCACCCTGCCTCAGTAGAAGTATGAAGAAACATTACCACTCGAAGCCCACAAATCCCCTTCCTGTGGGTGGCAACCAACAAGAGTCTAGCCACATTCCACAACTGAGCAGAAGTGCTCGATTACAGTCTGCATTGGGTGAAATGCATTCAAGAGGGACAGTCCTAGGCTGAGCTGCAGTATGTCATGTCTGTGTATAAAAAAGCTGCATGATTCTGAACATCGTCCTTGTGCGACTTCCTGTTTTTTACTCTACCTCAGTAGTGCAATTTTCATGCAGTTTGGGTGTGGTGTAATAAAGCAAAAACATAAGTACAGGACATTAGGGCTGCAACAACTAATCAACATAATCGATTATAGTCGATTATTGAAAAAGTTGTCAACTTTTTCAATCATCGATTAATCGGATTCCTATTGGTTGGCCCTGTTCACGGCTCCACACACGCTGCGTGCCACACCACCTTCCCACCTCACGCTCGCCGCTGCCAGATCCGCCCATCCGCATCCACACGCCGCACCTCCTCCCCGTCTCACGCTCACCGCCCGCCCAAATCCACGATTGGCACACGGACGCAGAGAAAAGAAGTAGGAGGAGCAGGTGTGGGCGGATGACAGCCGCCGATAGACAGGCCTGATCTCAGAAGCAAGTTGCTGGAAGACTGCTCAGGTAAGCCTGCACTTCCCTCCCCACACATGGTGCTCTATAATGTATTGCTGGGATTTGTATTCCTCTATAGCTGATGGTACATTGTGCTGTATATTATACAGAGGACTACAAATCCCAGCAATACATTACACACTGTATGTATAATGTATTGTTGGGATTTGTTGTATTCCTATATAGCTGGTGGTATTCTGCATTGCACTGTATAGAGGACTACAAATCCCAGCAATAATGCATTATACAGCGCAATGTGGAATACCACCAGCTATAATGTACTATTGCTGGGATTTGTTGTACTCCTCTGTAGCTGGTGGTATTCTGCATTGTGCTGTATAATGTATTACTGGGATTTGTAGTCCTCTATAGACTGTGCCATTCTGCATTCATTGCTGTATAATTTTACACTTTTCATTTCACTATATTGCACATCACACTTTTTTTTTTCTTTTTTACTTCCACCGCTCCAAGCTTGCTCCTGTGATGGACTGCAATCTCAATACAACTAGTAGTCCCATCACTGAAGCCATTTAAAAAAAATTTATTTTATTTTTTATCCGACTAACCGATTCATCGAACTTAATAATCGGCTAAAATAATCGTTAGCTGCAGCTCTACAGGAGATATTGAGGCTGCAATTTCTGACCTTATAAAAATGGAAATTGCTTAGCGGTCTTAATGATCCTCCAGTGTCAATAATTTATGAATCACTGACCAGCAAAATGTATGCAGATCAGGAGTTCTGAAATCACTTGCTGCATGCTTGTTCCAGGTCAGTGACTTAAAGAACAACTCCAGGCATGTAAAAGCTTAACTTTACACAGTACTGCAAAGGTTAAGTGCTCATTTGCATATACTCACCCAATCCTTGGTCTTGCTTGGCTGCTAGGCCAGTCCCTGGAGCCTCTGCTCTCCCGGGGGCCCCAGTTGCCCAAGGATTTGTGACGTCATCACGTCCATTGACTTGCATTTGTCGTGAGGATGTTGAGAAATATTCCACAGCCAGAGTGG